TTTGAACTTGATCAATCCAGACATGTCTCGGATACGGATCCAGAACTGAATTCTTTAAAACAAAATGGCCGCCAGTCGGCTATTTCGAACTTGATCCGAAAAAAAAATGACGTGCATCAAGGTCCTATTATGTTTAATGTATGTACCAAATTTGAATGAAATCCGTCCATGCATAACTGAGATCCGGGTCCGGAATTGTGAAAATGTGCGATTTCAATGCATTTTCGGCCTTAAAGCGGCCGCCATTTGGCTATCGTTAATGAGATCATGAAACAAATGCACATACATATTTGTGACATGATGTACCTTGTGTGTGTGAAGGTTGAACTCGATCAATCCAAGCATGTCTCAGATACGGATCCAGAACTGAATTCTTTAAAACAAAATGGCCGCCAGTCGGCCATTTCGAACCCGATCCAAAAAAAAAAAATGACATGCATCAAGGTCCTATTATGTTTAATGTATGTACCAAATTTGAACAAAATCCGTCCATGCATAACTGAGATCCGGGTCCGGAATGGTGAAAATGTGCGATTTTGATGCATTTTCGGCTTTAAAATGGCCGCTATTCGGCTATCGTTAATCGGATCATGAAAAAAATGCATGTGCATATGTCCCATATAATGTGTGATGTATGAGTGAAGTTTGAACTTAATCGGTCCATGCATGTTCGAGATACAGGTGATCACGGACGCACGGACGGACGGACGCACGCACGCACGCACACAGGGCAAAACATAAGTCCCCGTTTTCGGACTGCGTCCGAACGGGGACTAAATATTATTCTAGTTGAATGATACAGCAAATGTTGTGAAGGGCTTAGAAAAATTAGTTATGTTTTTAGTCAGAGTGCGCACCACAACAATTCTTTTTTTCTTTCATTTTGCAACTGGACAGTACCAAATTAATAAAACCTGCGTAACTTTTCACCACCAGTTCCCTCTTCTCATAACAATTTCCCATTCATAGTCTGCACTTTCCTTCAGAAGATTAGGACAAAAACAGCCAAATTTTTTGAGTGAAAAACTGAAAATATAATCTAAATTTGTAATTTTATCTGTTGGCTCCAAAATTAGGGTTCATTTCCAGAAATATTCAAGAATTTAAGAAAAAAAGTGCAGAACAATTTGGGGGAGAAAGTCTGATGATAAAAAGGTTAATAACTTCAACTTTCATCAGACATTATTTGATCTAGCTTGGTAATTAATTAACAATTTTTACATAATAAGTCTTTTCAATTTGGCCAGAACCCTGGATAATAGATATAGATAATAAATAGTTGATTTTGCGCCATTTTTTCATGTTTGACTGAATTAAAATTTAGGGTAGACAATGTATTTTAGGTAGGATAGAGTTATCAGAACCATGCATACTTTTTTTTTTTAACTTTTACTACAATACAGACAATGCTTTGACATTTACCAGTTACATGTCCCTGTATTCTCTAGTGTAATTGAATCAGGTATTTCGCCACACTAGTCGGTAGCGGTCGGCCCTTACCGGCACTCAGAATTAGCGACCACCACAGAAGCGCTTTCGACCAAGACCATTGTCCAATTGTTTGCACTGTGACCAAGCTTATTAATATACATGTAGCTCATTAATATACATGTAGCTCATTAATATACATGTAGCTCATTAATATACATGTAGCTCATTAATATACATGTAGCTCATTAATATACATGTAGCTCATTAATATTCATCAGCTTATTAATATTCATCAGCTCATTAATATTCATGAGCATCTAGCACTCCCATTGGGCGAGTGAGATCCCTGATTTATGTAACCTACCATGGTTGGTTCTATAAGTTGTATGTGGTGATAGGCACCATAGAGACTGGGTCTGATTACTTCAGCCATTGAACCATCTATCACAATGAAGCTAGAAATGATTGGAAAAGACACCAGTTATATTGAAGTTATCGTATACACTACAGTGGCGTCATCATATACACTACAGTGGAGTCATCATATACACTACAGTTGGGTCATCGCATACACTACAGTGGGGTCATCATATACACTACAGTGGAGTCATTATATACACTACAGTGGGGTCATCAGAAACACTAGTGAGATTATTGCATACACTACAGTGGGGTCATTATATACACTACAGTCGGGTCATTATATACACTACAGTAGGGTCATTATATGCACTACAGTAGGGTCATCATATACACTACAGTGGGGTCATTATATACACAACAGTGGGGTCATCATATACACTACAGTGGGATCATTATATACACTACAGTGGGGTCATCGCATACACTACAGTGGGGTCATCATATACACTACAGTGGAGTCATTATATACACTACAGTGGGGTCATATACACTACTGTGGGGTCATTATATACACTACAGTGGGGTCATCGTATACACTACAGTGGGGTCATCGT